ATAAAACTATGATCTGTATAAAATATTCTCATTTTCCGATATGCTAACTAAGGCTAACAGTTCAAGTCAGTAAGTGGCAATGTTGGAATCCAGGCTCACGGAAGCCAAGGACGATGTTCTTAACCTCTATTCTGAAACTGTTTACAAATAAGCAGATGGAAGACTAGAGAGATGGCTCAGCGGTTAAGAGCCGTTGCTGCTGCAGAGGATTCAGGTTGGGTTCTCAGCACCCACATGGCAGCACACACCCACATGGGAGCTTACACCCACCTAAAGTCCAGTTCCAGAGAAATCGAATGCCCTCTTTGGCTTCCACGTACACTGCGTTCACATGGTGCGCATTCTACACTCAAGCACACACATGCACATTAAAAATAAATAAGTCTTTTCTACCTATTTTACGCCTTTCTACCTATTATACACTAGAATACACACCTCAGGAAGCAGAGGAATGAAGGAGGCTAGCACCAACCAATTCATTCTTTTTTTAAATTAACATCTAGGTGCTGCAGTGAGAGCACTGGCTGCTCTTCTAGAGGACCCAGGTTCAATTCCCAACACCCACGTAGCAGCTCACAACTATCTGTAACTCCAGTTCCAGAGGATCTGGTGCCCTCTTCGGGTCTCTATGGACACTAGGCACGTACATGGTGCACAGGCATACATGCAGGCAAAGCATGCACACATGCTGTGGGATGGTCTGTATGTCAAGTGTGTTGCTGATTGGTCAATAAATAAATCACTGATTGGCCAGTGGCCAGGCAGGAAGTATAGGCGGGACAAGGAGGAGAATAAAGCTGGGAAGTGGAAGGCTGAGTCAGATACACTGCCAGCCGCCACGATGAGAAACAGCATGTGAAGATGCCGGTAAGCCACGAGCCACGTGGCAAGGTATAGATTTATAGAAATAGATTAATTTAAGCTGTAAGAAAGTTAGCAAGAAGCCTGCCATGGCCATACAGTTTGTAACCAATATAAGTCTCTGTGTTTACTTGGTCTGGTCTGAGCGGCTGTGGGACTGGCAGGTGAGAGAGATTTGTCCTGACTGTGGGCCAGGCAGGAAGACTCTAGCTACACACACACATAAAATAAATAACTTTAAATATCGATTGTGCTCTAGCAGGAATTACAGAAGGTTATATGATCACATGATCACAAAAACAAACTGTCCACAAAGAGCTCCAGTCTATCAAGTGCCATGAGAAAGATTGGAAGCATAGAAAAGAATAGACTGGGGAAGAAAAACTAGATATTTGGGTTTGTTTGTTTGGTTGGTTGGTTTGGTTTGTCTTTTTTGCCTTTAAAACATGGAAGACACCAGGCATGGCGGCGCGTGGCTTTAGTCTCAGCACTCAAGAAGCAGGCGGATCTCTCTAGTCCCCTCCTCCCAGTCTTACTTTTTTATTTTTACAATGTCTTTCTCTCATATTTGCCTGTAAAAATTCTATTAACCATATACTCAATGTTTCTTAAATTCAATGGAAAGAGCAACTACTCTATTATATTAATCATGTCTGGCTATAGGCAGCACTCTCGTTATTGCTGGCCTGCTGCTCCCTTACAATGAACTTAATAACTTTTTCTTTCTCTAAAAAAATAGAATGGGACTGGAGAGATGGTGCAGTAGTTAAGAGCTCTCATTGCTCCACCCAGGTTCAGTTCCCATCACGCACATGGCAGTTTACAGCCATCCATAACTCCAGTTCCAAGGGACCCAACACCCTCTTCTGACCTCCAAGGAGACCAACTACACATATGGTACACATACCCACATGCAAGCAAAACACTCATACACATAAAATAAATATTTTTGGCTGTGAGCCTAGCCTTTAATGGCTGAGCCATCTATCTCTCCATCCCACACATAAAATAAAATAAATAAATCCAAAACATTTTTTTAAATCTGTACTAAGGATGGAATGTAAGTGAGTAGTAAAGCTCTTGCCTAGCACAGGCAAGATCATGGGTTCAATCCCCAACACTAATACAAAAAAAAAGATAATTTATATTTCAAAAGACACTAGTAAGAGAATGAAGACACATTCTTGGAAAAGATATTTGCAAAGTATATGTCAGGAAAAGAAATCTACAAAACTACTACAAATCAGCTGGGCGGTGGTGGCGCACGCCTTTGATCCCAGCACTTGGGAGGCAGAGGCAGGCAGATCTCAGTGAGTTCAAGGCCAGCCTGGTCTACAGAGTGAGTTCCAGGGCAGCCAGGGCTACACAGAGAAACTCTGTCTTGGGAAGAAAAAAAAAAAAAACTACAAATCAGTAGGAAGACAAATGCCTAATTATAAAAGTGGGCAAAAGCCTTAAGTATTTGACAAAAACACCATTCAAACAGGCAATTAAGAAGGTCAGCATCCGGAAAAATAGAAATGCATACTTTAACAAAATACCACATTTAGCCAGAATGGCTAAAATTAAAAAGACTTATGCAAACACCCAGTGTTAACAAGAATGAACACCAACTAGAATGTTCCTACAGAGTGGGCAAAAGCCTCAGTTCTACAATCACTTTGGAAAACTGGCGATATCTACTACCACTGACATATGCGTGGTCTACAAGATTAACAACTTTTTCCCCTAAAATCTATGCAACATGTCCACAAAAGGAAACATACAAGAATGCTCACTTCAGAATGTTTCCCTGTCAATGATAAAACTCAGATGTCCATTAATTTCATAAGATATTAACTCTGGTTTATACATACAACTTACCAACTAAAAAAAAATGGTGCAAACACAAAAATACTGATTAACAAGAAAGCCAGACATATACTATACACACAGTATAATCACATTTAAGTGAAATCTACATACAAATTCAAATACAGACAAAATATCTAGGAGTCATAAAACCAAGAGAGTAGTTGATTACCTCCAGATATGAGGATTCAGTACTGATTGGGAAAGACCATAATGAGTGCTGGAAATGTTCTACATCTTGATTTGGGTGATATTGATGGGTATATATATATCTTCTCTCACGGAATGTATGGCATAGCTCAGTAACAAAGATAACTCAGGATTTAAAAAATGTAACATGAGGGGAAAACCCTCATCCTTTAAGTCAGTGGTTCTCAATCTTCCGAGTGCTTCACGCTGTAGTGGCCCCTAACCATAGAATTCTTTTCATTGCTATTTCATAACTGTAATTTTGCCACTGTTATAAAGTGCAATGTAAGTATTTTTGGAAATAGAGGTTTGCCAAAGGGCTGTGACGCCCAAGTTGAGAACCACTGCTTTAAGTTAAAATGCCATTTCCACTTCATCAGCACCTCTAAGGTGTTCCCCACTTTATCTTAACCTAACGGCCAAGAAGTAAAGCTCGGTGGCATTCTAATGTATTTTCTTTTGTGCCACTTATCAACTCCATCTTGAATCTCCTTATCTCCCTAAACAGTTCTGTATCTTCCAAATGACAGTGACATACCTTTCCCTTAACTCAGTACCTGAACAAAAAAAAAAGAAAAGAAAGAAAAGAAAAAAAGAAGAAGTTTGCTGAATTACTTGAAAGGAAAAAAAAATGGGTGGGTGCTCAAATGGGTATAGTGGGAACAGGAACAGGAAAGAAAGCCTACGGAAGGACATGGGCATCTTTAAAGAAACAGACGGTTAAAACCACTTTCCCTACTTTCTGGGAAAATCATATTAAATGTCAAATTGAATGACAAATAATCAAGTCAAAATAGCAAGACATATCTAGACTGAGAATATCACAGTCTCACACTAAAGCTCCTTTCAGGAAATCCACCAAATAAATGCTTACCTATTCTGAGTGTTTCAACACTAGTTGGGGAAACTGTTCATTAAGGGGAAAAACAATCACATTGTCATGCTGCTAAAAATATCACCTACCCAGTGTAGTGCAAAGAGACTAGACTATAGGTCAGTAGACTTAAAACCAAATTCTAACTTTCTCAACTTGCTGTGATCTGCAGCCAGTCTGCCTCTCCGGTCCTCAATTTCTTCATATTTAAAAAATTAAAGATAAAAAGTGATCGGGTTGGGCTGGAGAGATGGCTCAGTGGTTAAGAGCACTGACTGCTCTTCCAGAGGTCCTGAGTTCAATTCCCAGCACCCACATGGTGGCTCACAACCATCTGTAATGAGATCTGGTGCCCTCTTCTAACCTGCAGTCATACATGCTGTATACATAATAAATAAATAAATAAATCTTTTTTTAAAAAGTGATCGGGTTGGCAAACTCTTTTAAGTCTTCCTATACTGACATTGAGTATACAATCCTTAGCTCTCCCAATCCGAAGCAGAAACACAACATAAACCCTGCAAAGCAAGTAAAAATGCACCTCAGACTAATAAACTAGCACTATTTGAGGAAGTCATTTTGTTCTATTATCTTTCAAGGCTTAATCTATGGTTTGTTAGTTGTTTGCAGTCTTACCATGGTTTGCAGACTTCTGAGTTCCTTGTAAACAGAAGTTAACTGTCGGTGGGCTGTCATGTCTCCAGGGAGAAAGAGGACCTTCCCGCCAGGTTTCAAGAAACCGGATTCAGAAACCAACCCTACAGAAGGATTCCATATTTGCGCACACTGCGCGGCACACTGGAGCCTAAGTTAGAAAGACCGAGCGCAGATTGTACTGGGATTTGTAGTCCCTGGCTTCTAGCGGTGAGCTGGGATAGCCTACTCCCTGGGAGACTGGGAAATGTAGTTTCTGCCACCTTGCACAGAGCAGCCTGCCATAGTCTCAGACCGCTAGTGCGCCCGGCGACCGGAGTAGGCGCCTCAAGCTTCTGAAGATTTCAAGCCACCGCTCCGCTGGGACAAACTCTAGGCAACAACACGAACAAAATTCTGTCCTCCGGGACTCCTCCGGGAGGGCCTTTCCCACTGACACTCTCCGTCCCCGAGCGAAGCCGCTGAGCGTTGCTATTGGCTATTCGGAATGCCAATCGCCGAAGCCGGCTTGCCATTGGTTTCAGGGCGGGAGCTCCACGACTAGAGGGAAGGAGAAGGGATCAGGAGCGGGAGCCGAGGGGAGGGAGAGGCCGGTTCGGGTCTGGCCGTCACCGCTGCTTGCCTGAGGTGTCCGGCCGGGCAGCGGCTCCGTCTCGGTTCCTGGTACCGTCTGCGAGGCCCCGCCGAGCCAGCGTGGGAGGGCCGCAGGCGGCAGGCGCCGCATCATGTCAGCCAAGGACGAGCGGGCCAGGGATATCCTGAGAGGCTTCAAACTGTATCCGCCCGGGAGCAGGGGCGGGGCCGGGGAGGGCTGGGAGGAGGCCGTGGCTCCGAGGAGCCGGGCCGTGGCGGGGGCGCCAGGTGGGCACCGCGGCCCCCTCTCCTGCGAGAGGGGGCAGGAAGGGAACGGCGTGCCGGGCCCCCCGGGAGGGACTGCGAACGGGAGGCGGGCACAGGGGCGCCCTGAGGGAGGAAGGGGACGTTGACGGAGCCCCGGGGGACGGGGGCGGAGGAGCCCTGGGACCTGGCTGCGAGAGGTGTCCGCCCCGAAAACCGGTGTCCCGGGGGCTAGTCGGGGCCGGGAGGCCGGGAGGGGGCTGTGGTCCGCACGCAGAGGCCGAGGGGGTGCGGCGGGCTGGCCTCCGAGCCTGCCGGGGAGCATCTTTGGCGGGAAGCCCATAAGGGAGCAGGGGAAAGTAACTCCAAGCAAGTGACCTTGTGTGAGATAACTGTCCGTGCTCTTGGGTACCCCATCTCACTCCTCACACCCCCACCCAACCACCACCAACCCCGTCTTGTTTCCACAACTTCTCTTCCTCACTTGTGGCTTCTTCTAGAGCTGGAGTAGTGGAGAGGTGGGGAAAGAGAAATCCAAGACCGACCCCACCTTAACACTTTCTTGGCTTTTGAAGCATTGGATGGTCACTTTTCTCCTCAGCCACTCAAGTTCTCTTTCCAACAAGATGAGGAACATGAGCATGTGTGAGAGATACCTTGAGGTACTTTGGTTTTGAACTGACTCCTGGCAAAACTGTCTTTGTTCCTTGGCATGCTGGGTTTAATGCTGTATTATGGTGGAGCTGTTCACAATTCCTTGTGTTGAGGACACGGTACTATGTAAGAAATAATTGCCTCCATGGACATGGTGTTAAATGCCTATTACCCCAGTCCTTGGGAGATACAAGCAAGAGGATCAGAAATTCAGGTCATCCTCAGCTTCATAGAGAGTTCAAGGCCAGCCTGAGTTACGGGAGACCCTCCTTCATAAAGGAAAAAAGTGAGGAGGCAGAGATCGAAAAGAAACACTTGCCTCAGGCCTGTTGTAGTGTGACTTCTGTAACCTCTCTCTATAGTAAGGAAGGTTTGCAGGGTTTGGTCTGTTTTGGAGACAGTGTCACACTGTGTACCTCTGACTGACCTCAGATAGAGATCCACCTGCCTTTGTCTCCAAAATGCTGGAAGTACTAGGATTCAGAACGCGGATGAAATGTATTCCAGTTTTACATTCTGCTGACCTTAATTTCTGCTTACCCCCCTTCCATACAGTATGGACTATTCGTAAGTTCCTCCCTCAGTGAAATGTAGCCATCGCTCACTGAGCTCCTTCCTCCCCTGGAGGTTAGGAAAGCACTGTTCTCTGAGCAGCCTGTGGTTGTGAAGACAGGACCTGTTTCACCTCTTCCAATATTTAATTGCTTTGTCATAGTCAGAAACCAAGGGTGGCCGGGCATGGTGGTGCACGCCTTTGATCCTAGCACTCAGGAGGCAGAGGCAGGTGGATCTCTGTGAGTTCAAGGCCAGCCTGGGCTACAGAGAGAGTCCCAGGAGGACAGCCAGGGCTACACAGAGAACCCCTGTCTCGAAAAACCAAAACAGGGGGCGGGGAGGGGGGCAGAAAAAGAAACCAAGGGTGACAGTAAAATTAGAGTGCTTAGCAAGGCATGATAGACCATGCTTATAATCCCAGCACTTGGTGACCGGAGCAGGAAATGGTCTTGAGTTCAAGACCAGTCTAGGCTATAGAGTGAAACCCTAACTCCAAAAAAGAAAAAGGACCAAAACCCACCACAGTCTTAAAAGGGGTGGATGAGTGGACTGGAAGTATAAACAAAGCCTTGGGTTTCCGTAGCACCAGGGAGAAAAAAACAACACAGGAAGTTCTGGGTGCAGAAATGAAAACTCTTCGAGTGAAAACTAATCTGCTGAGGTTTTGTTGGTTTGGTTTTAAGGGCAAGCAAGCAGCGTGTGTTGAGAAGAAAAGAAACAGCTCCCTGCAGCTGGGAGGGGACTGGAAAATGAGTTGCCCCTGCTGTGCTTTTTAAAAACAGAAGGCTGCATCTCCTTACATATTGCCATTCATGATACACGCTCAATGTTTTTAGATAGTGAAGTTTAGTAACAGACTTTTTTATAGCTTCATGTACGATTCTGTTTGTCTTTATAATGGAACGCCTAAGCAGATATGGATGACTAAAGTGTTAGAAAAGCTATAACATGGCTTTTATTTTTCCTTTAAATAATTTATATTATTAATGTGTATGCTGTGGATAATAAACCATAGGCTGTGGGGAATTAAATTCCAGAAGCAATGCTTTTGTCAGATTATAATTAGCACTGCTAAAAACAAATGTTTGGAATAAATGACTATAGCAGAAAAGCTTACACGTTGTCACCTTTACTCTTGACATGGACTGTTGAGAAAAAGGCTAAAAGGCAAATATAGAAAAGACTTAAAGCCTTGTGTGATGGCACACGCTTTTAGTCCCAGCACTCAGGAGGAAAAGACAGGCGGATCTCTGTGAGTTTGAGGCCAGCCTGGTCTACAGAGCTAGTTCTAGGACAGCCAAGGCTACACAGAGAAACTTTGACTTGAAAAACCAAAAATAAAAGAGAAGAGAAGAGGAGTGAATTAGCCACCTAAGTAGTGATGTTAGTGCTTCGGAAACAGGCTTTCAGGGGAAGCTTGACCTGAGCTGATTAAATATAAAACAAAGGGAAGCAGCCACATAGAAGTTAGTAATAGGTTTTCTGTAGCACCATAATAGGTTTCTCTGCCAGCACAGTAAGCTAGATCAAGCTGAACTGAAAAAGTATAACAACAGGTTTATTTGAGCAAAGCAACTTCCTGGTGAGTTCTCCAGCCCAGAGATGGAGGCCGGAGAAGCCACACGCCTGAACTAAAGCAGGGAGATTATATAGCGGTAGGTGAGGGATGATGATTTGTCCTCCACAGGCTGGGTTTGTGCCCAAGTATGGTTAAAAACTGAATGCATAGGTGGGAGACTTAGGCTGCTGGCGACTTCAGGAGAGGAGCTGCCGTAGCCACCGAGAATGTGGAGCTGGGCTTTTTGGTGCCTTCCCTTTGTTCAGAGACTTTCTGAGTGGGCAGAGTTTGGAGAGATGGGAATGGGTCTTCTTAGACTCCTCAGGAGCTGCAGGAGCGAGCTGGAGGTTCCAGCCAAACAATCAGCATGGGAGGGATGAAGTGGGCATCCTCTGGTGTCCTTTGTTGACATCTAAAAGTGAAGAGAAGGAAAAGGGGGCTGGAGATTAGCTAGCAGTTAAGAACTTAAGGGTGTTAATTGTTCTTTTAAAGGCCTGGATTTGATTACTAACCCACACCAGGCGGTTGGCAACTTAACTGTAACTGAATTCCAGGGGATCTGACATCCTCTTACTTCCTGGGCACCTGCTCACATGTGGCACACAGAAACTCATGTAGACACACATACACACACATAAATAGTAAGTCTTTGAAAGAGAGAGAAAGAAAACAGGAACTGTATGGTTTACCTGCTTTCTTTTTTTGTTTGTTTTGGGTTTGGTTTTTAAGACAGAGTCTCTCTGTGTCTCTCGCTGCCCTGGAACTCTGTCTGTAGACCACACTGGCCTCAAACTCACAGATCTGCCTGCCTCTGCTGCCACCACATTCCACCCAGGCTTCTGCCATCATGTTTTAAAAGATAATTTTATGTTAGAAGCAACTTGATCACTCGACACCTTTTGTTGGAATTTTTTTTCTGAACTGTTTTCAGATTGTTTCTGAAAAAGGTTTTGTGCTTACTACTTGTCCTTTTACTTTTCTGTTGCTGTGATGAGACACTGTGACCAGTGGAACTTAGAGAAGAAAGGGTGTTGGGCTTACAGTTTCAGAGGGTCAAAGAGTACAGGTGGTCAGGCATGGTGCTGGAGCTTACATCTGATCCACAAATACTAGGCAGAGAGAGCTAACTGGGAAGGTTGAAGGTTTTTGAAACCTCAAAGCCCACTCCCAGTAATACACCTCTAACAAGACCACACCTCCTAATCCTCCCCAAACAGTTCCACAAACTAGTGAGTGACTAAACATTCAAATATATGAGCTAGCTTCTGGAGGCTATTCTCATTCAAAATGCCACATTACTATTTAAAAAAAAAATCATTATATTCTCCCACCAACAGTACTCAGTTTTGCACATTGACTTGTTTGTTTGGTTTTTCTTTTTATTGAAAATCTTGTTTCATTTGAAAAAGTGTTATCTTTTTAAAATTTGTATTCTTGCATCTCCAGCTCTCTAGAAAAATAACGTACCATGGTGGTTAAGTGCTGTACTAGCTAGGTGGTAGTGGCACACACCTTTAACCCCAGTGCTTAGGAGGCGAAGGCAGGCAGACCTCTGAGTTGAGGCAGCCTAGTTTACCTGATTTATATAGCAAATTCTAGGCACCATCTCCAAAAAAGGCAGAGGAAAGCTATCCTGAACTGAGGAGCGGCACTGCCTGCCTTGGGGTTCTAGTCCTTTGTTCCCGAGCAGTTTCACCTCAGTCTTCTTAGGTAGAAAGTAGGACTAACAGCAGTACTCTGTCTTCAGGTCTGTTGTGACGTGAAATGAATTGATAGGTAAAAAGTGCCCAATACACACTGAGCCTTACGTCTTGGCAGTGTTTTTATCAATGAAGCTGCAAATCTCATCGTTTCCAATTTTCTTCTCTGAACTATTTGATAGTATACCCATTTTACTATGGTTTGTTTTTCTTGCCACTTTCTGATGTTGTTTATATTTTTTCATATTAGCCTTTTGCCTAATGTATCTATTGTAAGTATTTTGTAATAGTATACTGTTCAAATCCTTTTCTGTGATTTTGGTTTTGGGTTTTTGTTTCTGCAACACTAGGGATAGACTTAAGCTTGAATCGTATGCTGGGCAAGCACTCTGCCATTTAGGGATATCCCAACTCATTGATTTATACTGTGTATAGAATACATAGTAGTTACATTCCTCCCCACCTTCTCTT